TAAAAAGAAGTTTATCCATATAAAATAGAGCCAATATTTTCTTTTAAATACCTCTTCCTATCAATTTGCCTCAACCAAAGTGATCCACTGGAAATACACTCCGCGATAAAACTACTTTTTAATTATAATTGATATTTTATAAATACTAAAACGATAATTCTACGTGAAAGATCATGTCTTGAAGTAAGCAATAACCATATGTATAAACGTAACAAAAATTCTTTCTTATAATACAGATTTCAGTGATTTTACATAGTGTCTTATATTTTTGTCGCGAAGTGTAGACTACTTTAATATGTTTCTCTCAATTGTTAATGAAGAATAAACTATTTAAAAATTAGTATAATATACTACACATACATCTTAAACGATAAAAATGATAAAAATAGTCCCTTAAAATACACAACTACACACTGTTATGTAGATAGAAATTAAAAAGAAAAAATAAACCAAATAAATATGTATTTTAATATTTTAAAACTTAACCAATCTATTTATTATTATTAACAAATTTTATATTCAACATACATAATTTTACGCATCTGGATAATATTGCTTCGCCAAACGGCCTACTTTTTTCAGTTTAGGATTTTCTCTTAAACATTTTGGTACATAAGGCGGTGCATGCTGATTTAATCTTCGTTTCATACTCGACCAACCAAACTGCCATGGGTCACGTTTCTTATCCATAGAACGAGTCTTATTATCAATCATATATATTTTTTGCCAATGATATATTTCAGGTTTTTTCCTATAAAACAGTAGGAAATAAATGACTTTATGTGAATAAATATAGAGTTAAGTTATAATAAATTTTTAACCTCCGATTCGCCAAGCCGAATCACTTTTGATCTGTATAGTTTTATGCTAATTATAAATAAACGAAAAATTATAAATTTATAGAATATTATCATTTTTTTTTTTCTGGCGCAATATAAACGTTATTAGATGACATTTAGTATCCATAATTTCGATATGTAAATAATTCAAAAGTGAGTTGGATTAGCAACATTTGGTCATTAAATTTCTTAATATAACAATTATATACATACACATGTCTTGGCCTATTAGACATAACATGTTTAAATGTCGATTCTAACCATGTTCTTCGTCCAACATCAGCAATATCGGCAATATGTTTCACCGATTCACCTAAATATGGTGTCATGTATTCATTCTTTTGTTCAGGTTTATTTATATAAAATGCGATCAACATTTTTAAAACATCTTCATTGAGTCCATGAACTTTCCCATCCTCTACTTTTTCAAACAACTGCATTGGCTCTGTTATCCAACACATATTACGCATAGGATTATTGTCTGCATATTCTGAATGTGATAAAGTGGTATTCAACTGATATACACAAAATGACCAATATTGACCATTTGTTAAAACTGTTTGTGTTACTAATGGATATGTTACATCCTGAACTGTAGTAAAGCCTAAAATTAAAAATTATAAGAAAAAATGACATATTCATAAGTTGTATACAATAAGATTCTTTCAAACTAAGAATATTTGTTCAAAAAAGAAATATTTTCACATAAGTCAATACCTTGATAAACAGCTTGAGATAACAACCAACTGTAAGATGCAAAAATAGCTTGCACAGTAATTGCTTCCTTCTCCTTATATGCTGAATGAAAGTATGACTTGTTTGTACTGTGATAAGACAATAAACCAAATTCAGCAGCATCACCAGGCCAAAAACCAGGTATACAAGTTGCATGCCTATATGAAAACCTATAACCTAGTACTCTAGGATCAAATTTGAATGTGGGAATAGTTAATTCTTGATTTACACAATTTATTGGTGAAATAACCTCCTGTAGAGGAAATTGATGTCTTAGTTGCAAAATCGGAGAACCAAGATATTGAATAGGTATGTTTATTGGATCATCTGCATATTTTTTCAAATATTTTATCCTTCTTATTTGTCTTTTGGCTATAGCTGAACGTTCTATGCCACCTGCAAACCAAAACGCTTCTATTCTGGGTTCAAAATCTACTTCAATATCCAATAAATGTGGTTCTATTGAAGACAAAGCAACTAACATCATTCGATTGATTTGAAAAACAACTGCATTTGTAACAGCATTTTGCATTATTTTATCTTTGTGTAGCTCTTTATCTGGTATGTATTGCTCTCTTCTGTAATGTATATGTATGATATTAATAAATTATTTAATGAAATTATTTAATGAATATTGAAATACAAATTCATTTAAGAATTATTAATATTATACTCACAATCTATGACAATATTCAAAAATAATAATATCTTCTATATATTTTTTCATACTCTGTGCCAAACTATTCAATTTTTCAGTTGTAATTAGGGAGTTATAAAATTCAGGTAGTTTATTATCATTCAAAACATGAGTATGCGTAATATACTGAGCATGATTCAATGAATTGTATGGGACTTCTCCTTCCTCTAAATATAATGATTTCCAACCATAATAATGTGGCATATTTAAACCAATTAACTTTTCCTCTACAGTCTCTAATTTTTTAATTTTATTATACCAGACATCATCTTTTCTCCTCATTCTGGCACGATAGGATAAATCCAATATAGGAGGATAAATTACATTTTCTGTTTCTTGTAATGTGTCTACTGCATATTTCCTTATAACAGATTTCAAAATATTTATAGAACAATTTGGCAAAGATTTCTGTAATCCTGTATACATCTTAAAAATCACTGAATGTAATTGTGGCTCTAAATGTAATCAACAATTCTAATTTTATGTATGACTACTAGTTTACCTGATTGCTGTGAGATGTCGCCAAATGTTTATTTCTAGAAAATGTTCCTAAAGAAAAGGAAGAATGGAGAAAAAACCAAAAATTCATAAACTTCAATATCCCTATGTCTACAATCAAGACGTAAAAATCCATAGATTTGTAAACAGGAGATTGAAAATTTAAATTCTTCCGAAATCTTAAGAAATTCTATGATTTATTTATTATTGTTCACATATATTTCCACCGAGCGTATATTTAAACTAATAGCATTGACTAATATAGAGTTCTATAAAATAGCTCATATAAGATATAGAATACGATATAGATAAGATATTGACAAGAGTTAAACTAAAGTGGAAACTAAAATATAGAGTTAAATTAGAAAGAAACTAAAAATAGTTACTTAAGAATACACTATATAAAAATTATAGTATAGATTTAAGCATTTATATATCGGTATGATTAACCCTTTCGAACGCCGGATATAGCCGGCATCCATCAAATGACTTGTGTATTGATGTGTGAGATGTATTTATATAATTCTAGTGTTACTTGTATAATTAACAGAATTTAATAAAAATATTTAAATATTAAATCTTTTAATATTAAAATTAACGACATTTGTTAGAAGAAACATTTTTTTTTTTAAGTTCTTATTTAACACTAAGGAAAATCTTTATACACAAAAGAACTGACCACGCGCTCTCGCGGCGTCTCTCGTGGCGTTTCTTCACAACGGGTCAGTTCTGTCACGGCAGACAAAGTGTTCGCATCGGAAGTGTTAATCTTGTAACAAGATTTTACTTTTGTTACAAATAATTTTAATTAAAATCCTAATTTGCGATTTATATGTTTTGTAAATTATTTTGCTAAAATTTGATTTCATAGTATACAATAAACATATATATGAGAATACAATACATAATACATTGTTCCAGAAATGTACTTGAAATTCGAGATCTTGAATGTACTCTAAATTTAATATACGGTTTAATAATTGTACTCTAAATTTAATATACGGTACACAAGTGTTCAAGCCTAATCAAGAAACGTTTTGTGAGTTAAAAAAGTGCAGGTTAGGACAATTGAAAAATGCGGAAAACAACGAGAAGAAAGGCGTTCAGCGGTAAAGCAAAGAAACAGCAGCTGCAAGCTAAGAAACAAAGACAAAATTCAGCATTTAGTATGTGTAATAATAAACAATATGTTTTATATATTAAACATTCGGAATAATTAATTTTGTGTTACAATTAATAGGTGAAAGTCACAGCGATGAAGACAAAGAGTGTAGTAATTTTGAGCATAATGCTCAAATACAAAAAATTAATAAACAACCAAAAAATGATTCTTCCAGAAATAGATATACTTTACAATTCTTTCAAGAGAGTAAGGAAGAATTATTGAAACAAAAGAAACAAGCTAGAAATACCATTGAACCTTTATCTCTCAGGGATCAAGAAGTTTTAACTAATTACTTTCCATTTGAAATTGACATGCCGAAGAGACCACCATGGGACTTCAACATGTCGAAAGGACAGTTAGAATTGAGAGAACAGAAATATTTTACTGTAAGTGAATTGTGATTTTCATTTATATTTATCCATGCATAAACATAATATTAATTAGAATAATTTTTATTATTTTTAGGAATATCTAAGAAACATGGAAAAATTAAGTACTGTCAGTTATTTTGAATTAAATTTAGAGACTTGGAGACAATTATGGAGAGTTCTTGAAATGTCTGATATTTTATTAATCATTGTTGATATTAGATACACTGTTTTAATGTTCCCTTCATATTTATATGAATATATAACAAATGAATTAAAAAAGGATATGATTTTAGTATTAAACAAAGTTGATTTAGCTCCTCCAAGCTTAGTAATAGCATGGAAAGAATATTTTCATATTATGTATCCGAAGTTACATATTTTGATGTTCACGTCATATCCTACTTATAATTTACATGGAAATGTCAACGAAACAGAGGGAATAAAGCAAAGACGTAGGAAAGGAAAACTTAAAATGGCTGCAGAAGGAGCTCAAAAACTGTTGAATACTTGTAAAGAAATTGTTGGAAATAATGTTGATTTAAGTTCTTGGCAAGATAAAATTCAAGAAGAAATGCAAATGGAATTTGATTTAGACGACGTTGATCATAAAAATAACATTACTATAGAGAAAGAAGATACAAGTTATTTCAAACATGAACGCTATAAAAATGGAGTTTTAACTATTGGATGTATTGGAAGTCCAAATGTTGGTAAATCGTCCTTAATGAATGCATTAATGGGTAAGTAGTATTTTCTCATAACATAACAAGTATCTCAGGAAATAACATTTATTAAATATTTTTTATAGGGAAAAAAGTTGTTAGCGTGTCACGTACACCAGGACATACTAAACATTTTCAGACTATATATCTTACGAAAACAGTCTGCCTCTGTGATTGTCCAGGATTGGTGTTTCCATCTATGGTACCTAAACAACTACAAATTTTAATGGGATCTTTTCCAATAGCCCAAGTCAGAGAACCATATATGCCAATTAAATTTCTGGCAGAGAGAATAAATTTGCCAAAGATACTTAAATTACAACATCCAGATAATGATGATACATGGTCCGCTATGGACATTTGCGATAGTTGGGCTTCTAAGCGAAATTTTGTTACTGCACGAACCGCTAGACTTGATTCTTACAGAGCAGCTAATTCATTATTAAGAATGGCGCTTGAAGGGAAAATTTGTATGTACATATATCCTCCGGATTGGACTATCAATAAAGGTAATCACGAGAATTCTTGTTATGAATAATTTATTAAAATAATTTATGAATAATTTATGAATAATTTACTAAAATAATTTGTTTCTATTCCGTAACAGAAAAGTGGGAGAATCATTCAGAAATTGAATTAGTTAGATGGATTCAGGCTAGGAATAAAGATGAAGATGTTGACAGTGCGGAAAGAATATACGCTTCGTCCGAAGATGAAAATGTTGAAGAGGAAAGTTTAGAAACCCAAAAGCATCAAAAGAAAATATCAAAAATAACATCCGACAGTTCTGATGATTCTAGTGAAACAACAAGCGAAGAATCAAAAATACCATATGTAGTCAACAAATTTGAAGCATTATCAACAGATATGTAAGAAGTTTAATCTTTAAGTTAGTCAGTTGTTAATACTTTTTATTCGTTTTTTGATATACATCATACATCTATCTTGAATTATCTATTTACAACGAAATAGAATACAATATTTCTAACGAAATATTTAACAAGTAAAAATAGTATATACTACATATATATATATGCAGTGTGTTCACGATATTATTGGTCAATATTTTTCGCATTAATGATAAATTTTTGAAAGAAATAAAAAAGAGAAAAGTTATAACATAATAGCGTATTTCATTTTTTTATATTTATGTTGTTATGTATATGTTATATATTATGTTGTTCAAGAAATGAAAGTGACCTTCGATTTTCAAATAGAATGATACATTTTTAACTCTATTAATTGGTGCAGTCTGACGTTCTTCAGACACAACATCGTGTTGTCTGTAAAAAAATATTACAACTTTTTTTCAAAAATTTACCATTGAGGAGAAAAACACTGGCCAATAATACTGTAAATACGCTATATATATATGTATGTATGTATTATTGTTCTGCATCTAATAATTCCTAATTATTTATTGTACTGCTCATTATATATACACATTAGCTTTTATTACTGTTTCGTTGGTCCACTATACAGCGATTATTTATTAGAAAGATCTCTAGAAGCATAATTAATTTTCATTTTGATATTTAGAATTGTTTGCGAAAGGAAAAGATATTCGAGTTGTTAGCTAAAAATTCATAGCTATTAGACAATTTATATTTTGAGGCCTATCAAATTTATGTAATAGAATGTAGAACAAGACAAATATTAAATGAAAAAATAAGCTTTCTATAATTTTTATTATAGCTTTCTTAATTAATAATAAAGTTAACTTTGTTAAACTTTGAAAAATTCAAAGTTGTATCTATAAAGTTAAGTAATGATGTAATTATCACTTGCGAAGTTACTTCTTTGTTGTTTCTTATCAAAATATTATCTTTTATATTCAAAATATCATATGATATATATATATATGTATATATCAATAATATTTGCAAGTGGTATTTTTAAGCTCCCAACAATTTTTTAACAGAATAACCAGGTATTGCGTAAAAGAACAATAATACAAGTATTATTAATCCAATTGCCACGATAGCTTTTAGAATTGCCCACTTATAGTTGTGCCATACTATATATTTAATTGATTTTAAGGGATTCAAAAACCACATGAAAGATGCGTCAGGTCGACTGAAAAATAAAGGAATTAATGATATATGTTTTTAAACGAACGATTAATCAATTGATTATTTTAAAAAGCATTCTCATTATACAATTACTTGTAACTGGATAATGACGATGATTTTAGATTCAATGTAAATTTTCAAATAGATCATAGCGAATTCATGTTATATTTCAAACATTATATGCCTTATATGAATTGTTATTTATACGAATTATACTTACTTTGGTTTGTCAAGCGGATCCGGTTCGTTTCTTCCAAACCCTGCAGGATTTGTCTCAGCCTCCTCTTTACTTAATAAGTGAATTTCAGCTTCGACTTTACCCTAAACCATTTACATTACATTTTCAATGAAAAATATCTTCCAAATTTTTGCAAAAATATCAGACCGAATAGAGCGAATATGAATTGAAATTTACCGTTAATTCCATATCTTCGTTTTCTTTTTTAACATAGAAAGGCCACCAACCTTTTACTCGTTTCTGTTTGAAAATATTTACCGTTGGAACAGATCCATCGGTCTTTAACATACTCAACGTGCAAAGTTTACTGTTCTTTGCACCGCGCGGGAATCGATTTAAATCTAGAGTGATAGCACCTAGAAAATCATCGGCTGAGAAATGATCTGCATCCCAGACCTGTGTAAAGTATAAATTACAATTAAAATGACCTTTTGTTTTTAACTATAATGCTAAATTATAATTGAAATGTAAATTACGAATAAATGTAAATTGAAATAAATGTAAATTAC